AGTAAATATGTGAGTGAGTGAGTGAGTGAGTGAGTGAGTGAGTGAGTGAGTGAGTGAGTGAGTGAGTGAGTTAGTAAATATGTGAGTGAGTGAGTTGGTAAATATGTGAGTGAGTGAGTGTTTAAGTAAATATGTTAGTGACTAAATGAGTTAGTATGTAATAAGTTGGTGAGTTAGTAAGTGATGAGTTGGTGTTAGTGAGTGAGTTATTTAGTGAGTGAGCGAGTTAGCAAATATGCAAGTATGTGAGTGAGTGAGAGTGAGTTAGTAAATATGTGAGTGAGTTAGTAAATATGTGCATGAGTGAGTGAGTGAGTTAGTGTTTAAGTAAATATTTTAGTGAGTAAATGAGTTAGTAAGCAATAAGTTAGTGAGTCAGTAAGTGATGAGTTGGTGTTAGTGAGTGAGCAAGTTAGCAAGTATGTGAGTGAGTGAGTTAGTAAATGAGTGAGTGAGTTAGTAAATATGTGAGAGTGAGTGTTAAAGTAAATATGTTAGTGACTAAATGAGTTAGTATGTAATAAGTTAGTGAGTTAGTATGTAAATATGTGAGTAAGTGAGTTAGTAAGTGTTGAGTTGGTGTTAATGAGTGAGTTAAATATATGAGTTAGATATTGTTTGAGTTAGTGTGTAAGTGAGTGAGTGAGCGAGTTAGCAAGTATGTGAGTGAGTGAGTGAGTGAGTGAGTGAACTTAAGTATGTGAGTTAGTGTGTAAGTAAATATGTTAGTGGGTAAATGAGTTGGTATGTAATAAGTTAGTGAGTTAGTAAGTGATGAGTTGGTGTTAGTGAGTGAGTTAGTTATTGTGTGAGTTAGTGTGTGAGTTAGTAAGTGAATGAGCGAGTGAGCGAGTGAGTGAGTGAGCGAGTGAGTGAGTGAGCGAGTGAGTGAGTGAGTGAGTGAGTGAGTGAGTAACTGATTCACTTTTGGAGTGTTGGTTGCTATCGAGGACGTCAGTCAATCACAGCCCAGATTCATTCCCTTGTTTCCTGACTATACAGGTGCTGGTCATAAAGTTAGAATATCATGAAAAAGTAGATTTATTTCAGTAATTCCATTTAAAAAGTGAAACT